GAATTTGATGGATTGGTATTTATCATCTATTTTAATCCCTCTTTAAATGTGCTTTCCTGTATTGCAGAAATGGAAAAGCTAAAACAAAGAGACACAAAGCAAACTGTATTTGCAGACTCCTCTGCAGTTATATTTGGAAGATGCAAATAAGGCAGGGGCCCTTTTCCCTTGCTTTGGCTGTTGTTGCCAGGCATATTTTTGGAGACATTTTTCTGCAATAGCATCCCAATGTGCATTCACTAGTTTTATGGGATATGGTAGCCAGCTCCCAAGATAGCACCTAATGATTCCTGTCTCCTAGTATTCACATTCTTCTGTAGTCCCCTTCCACAGTGAATAAGGTCGGAGTCCTGTGACCAAGAGAGTCTACAGAAGTGATCATATGTGACTTCTGAGGCTAGATCATAAAGGACATTGCTGCTGCTTCCTTGGTCGCTGGGTAAAGCCAGACACCATGTAGTGTGGATGCTCACACAGCTTGGGAAGAGGCCCACATGGAGGGGGAAATGAGGTACCCTCCTCTCCACCAACCTGCCAGCCACCTTGGAAGTGGACCCTAGCCTGAGTCAAGCCTTCAGATGACTGAAGCCCCAGCCAAAATTTGACTGAATTCCATGAGGATTCTGGAGCCAGACTGCATAGCTAAGACAATTACAGAGTTCTGACTAACAGTATTTCTGGGAGATAATGAACGTATACTGTTGTTTTAAGTCACATGATCAGCAAAAATTTGTTGTTTATTTAAGGTTTTGGGTAACTTGTTAGGCAGCAACATAATATATGGGACAGGGAGTTTTGGCAGCAGCATTGCTCTTGAAGCCAGCATTCCAGCTTTCTATTTACTCCTTTCCCAACCGGGGCAGAGGTAGCAGTTACTTATCGGCCTGATTGACCACACTGCACTGAGTGGCGTTCTTGATCACCCAGCCTAACGCCCACTCCTCCTGTCCTTTCAATGACTTTGCAGGCACGCATTCTCTGTATTATACCTTCTTCTGCTTAAAATAGCTGGATTGGTATCTGTTTCCTGTAACTGAGCTTAATCTAATAAAAATACCCATCTCAAATCAATGGCTAGACCAGTGATGGCGAACCTTTTGAGCTCGGCGTGCCAGCATTTTGAAAAACCCTAGCTTAACTCTGGTGCCGTGTCACACATAGAAATTTTTTGATATTTGCAACCATAGTAAAACAAAGACTTATATTTCTGATATTTATTTTACATATTTAAATGGGATTTAACAAAGAAAAATCAACCAAAAAAATGAGTTCACGTGTCACCTCTGACACGCGTGTCATAGGTTCGCCATCACTGGGCTAGACAGTAGAAGCATTTCTGTTAAAGTAAGGATAGAAACATTGATGAAAGAGAAACATATATCTGCTGCCTCCTGCATGGCCCCCACTGAGCATAGAGCTCACAACCCAGTGAGCCCTGACTAGGAATCGAACCAGCGACCTCTTGGGTCAACGCTCAACCAATGAGCCATACCAGCTGTGTTGGGTTTATTCTTGCTTCACTTGCCTTTTTTTTGTATTCTGCGGCTACCTTGCAAAAACTTCCTTCTCTTTCAGTTTTCTACTTGACTCTTAGTCCAACTGCAGAGGCTCTTATGCCATGTATATTTAAACCAAAATATTGTAATTTGGGGAAAATATAATAAATCAATCCATGATTTTGAATTTTTCCTAAGGAGAAAATGCAGTTGGATGGGATTACCAGTCACATAAAACACCTGTACCTCAAGGCAGATTAGAACATATATCACCTTGAACTGTACAGTATTCTATTTTAATAAAATCTTTCCTATTTTGAAGGTTAAAAGGGACATGGAAGCCATTTATTTATTCTTCTAGCTACCATAGATCATAATTATTTTGTCTTTGGCATAATTGTTTTCATTAATTGGCCTTAGGTATTATGCCTTCAGCCCAAACTGGAAACCTTCTTCATTCAATTATTCAAGAAATATTTATTGAAGCCTAAGCTGTACTAGGTACTGTTCTGGATATTGGGGACCTATCAGTGTCCAGCTTTCCTTGAACTTGCTTTGTATTCATCTAAGAAATAGCCATATAAAAGTAGTTGTTGTTGAGGTTATCTGCTACTTTATTCCCTAGAGAAGTTTAAAACCTAAGAACTGGAAGAAAGGTTAAGGAATTCATACCACTTACACTTTACTCATGAGCAAACAAAGGAAAATCTCTCTCTCTCTCTCTCTCTCTCTCTTTCTCTCACTGCTTCTATGTCTCCACTATTTGGACACTAACCTTTCCCTCTTTAAGAACTCCTTATCTTCCTTCCTATTTCACCTATGTTTTCAGTGGCTGTGGTTGTTAAAAATTTTAATTGTTTTATTTCTAATGTATTTGGGAACTGCTTCCAATCTCAAATACCTTGTGGGATTAAAGGAACAAAGATAAACAACACTATGAGGAAAAAATCCAGAATGTGGTGCATTTTTCAAAACAACTGACCTTGTCTCCTCAAAAAACCAATATCAAGAAAAACTAAAAAGTGAAAGAGAAATTGAGGTGGGGGGAATCCCACAAAGAAATAGCAACCAAATGCAGTAAGTGACTCTTGTTTGGATCCTGACTCAAAAGAAAATATTTGCTATAAAAGATTATTCTGAGGAAATTTGAATAGGGCCTGGGTAGCAGATAGTATTAACAAATGATTGTTCATTTTCTCAAGACCTGATAATGGTACTATGATTATAAAAGAGAATGTCCTTATTTCTTAGAGATCTCATATTGAAGTATGTTGGGGTGGTGTGTCTCACCTGCAATTTTGGGATTTTTGAGTCAGCAAAAATATGTTTTACAAACACTTATATGCAGGTAAAGCACATATGTCAATACGTTAATTGTTTAGTCTGGATATTGGGTTGAATTAGAGTGAATACTGTACTATATTCTGTATGCTTGGAAGTTTTTATAAGAAAAAGTTGGAAAAATTAAGTTATATATGAATGCCTTACTTATTTACCTTTTTTCTTTCAGTACTCTATAAGTGTTGGAGTGAAAAGATCTTGTATTATAACGGAAGGGGAACGGCGCAATTTCAAGAGGGATCTGGCCACCAGTCTTAAGTTTAAAAGCAATCCAGGAGAACTTTAAACTTATTCAAAAGTTGGTACCCTCTGGTGTGGCTATGGCTGAGTGCAGAACTTTGAACCAGGTCATGGTTAGATTCCCAGTCAGGGCACAGGCCCCGGTTGCTTGGGTTGCAGGCTCAATCTCCAGCGCAGGGCCTGTAGGAGGCAGCCGATCAATGATTCTCTCTCATCATTGATGTTTCTCTCTCCTCTCCCTTCCTCTCTGAAATCAATAAAAAAAATATATTTTTAAAAAGTTGTTATCTAGCCCTAACCGGTTTGGCTCAGTGGCTAGAGTGTCAGCCTGAGGACTGAAGGGTCCCAGGTTCGATTCCGGTCAAGGGCACATCCCCAGTAGGGGGCGTGCAGGAGGCAGCTGATTGATGATTCTCTCTCATCATTAAAATCAATAAAAAAATATATATATATTTTAAAAATTGTTACCTAAAAGATCAGTTTTGAGACAGTAGTTTCACTGGAAGTGGAGGCCAGAATACAGAGAGACATTTTGTTTCCCCCCATAAACTCGGGGTTTTGTTGATTTTTTGCCGCTGTTAACAGGACATCACTGGAACGCAGGACTGACTCCCACTCCATCCCTCCCTGAAATCTCGCGATACTAGAGCCCGGAGCGCGAAACGCCGTGGGCGGGGCTGGGGCGAGATCGCTGCCTTCCGGCCGGGCCGTTGTCTGGGTGGCGAGGGCGAGTCATCGCGGGGCCTCGCCG